TTTTTCAGGAGAGGTGGGTTTTGACAAGGGAAAAGAGAGGTGTAGGGATGGGGTTGAGAACCTGTGGCAAAGGTATCTCATGACAAACAGTCATGGGTCTGGAGAAGAGAGTAGCTGTGGGCACAACCAACCTTGCAGACAGATTGACCAGCCAGGGCAGACTCAACAGTCCTGGCCTAGCACCGGCTTTTTCAAACTCAGGTCCCTGCACTCCCCCAAAAGCAACAGTATTCTCTGCATCATGTGATAGTCAGGAAATCACGAGAAGACAAGGAAGAAACATTAATGTGAATAAATTACTCCCCAAATTCAAAATGTAGAAGATAAAACTGAGGAAAGGAACAATGGTGATGGAGTTAACTAAAGCAGGCGGAAGCCAGAGAAGGCAGTACAATCCTTCAGTTTTCTCAGTGTCTTGAAGAGGCGGGTAGGACTAATTTTGAACCAATTAGAGGCAAACAGCTGCTGCTCTGGCTTTGTTCGCCATCTGCAGCCTCCTGTCATTCTCTTGGTATAGAAGATAGGGGCGGGGGGAGCTGCCCCTACATCCTGGCATCCTGGCACTGCAACATCCTAGTACTCTTCACCCCCGAACCACTGCACTCCTGCGCCCCTGCATCCTGGTCCCCAAAACCTTTGCATCCGGTGCTCCTACTCCGTCGCACCGCGGCACACCTAAGCCCCACACCCCAGTAGTCCGCAAGCCGCCTACCAGAGCTCTGTCCCCCTGGTGCCAGGGAGGGGCAGGACTTCAAGACAGAGCTCGTTGGTCGCGGTAACACCGTAAGAACATGAGAGGCCGACCTGGAGGGGCTCTTCAGTCACTAGCTTGTGCGCATACCCCCACGCGCATCAGGATCATGCCTAAGGACTCCTATTGCCTGCGTTGTATCCCTGGGGAACCTGCTGGAAATGGTGACCCGGGCTGCAGGGGAAGGAAGAAATGCTTTTATGATTTTGTGTATCCTGAGGGCCTTGAGGTGTCCTGATGGTGCAGTGGTTAAGCGCTAGGCTGCTAACAGAAAGGTTGGCGGTTTCAACCCACCAACCATTCTGCAAGACAAAGATGTGGCAATCTGCTTTTGCAAAGATTTACGGTCTTGGAAACCCTAGGGGGCAGTTCTATTCCGTCCTATAGGATCCCTACGAGTCTGATGGCAGCGGTTTTCTTCTTTCTTTCTTTTTTTTAATTAAATTATTGACCTATTAATATCGATTAAGTGACTTGAGGCTTTTCAGAAACCCAAGAAGGAGTCACTGTGAATCAGAATCAACTTGACAGCGAACAGTCTACGTGTTTTTCTTATGCCCTTATTTTTTCTTTCACTGTAAATTTATAGGAGAAAATAGCTTTTCCAACTTAGGAGCATGTATGTAGGGGGCGAAGATGGGAAGTGGTGGATTCAGATTTGGAGTTTTACGTTCTTCAATTGATCTCGAACTTGGACAGGCTTCTCTTCTCACTGTCTTCCTCTAGTGTTCTGTAGTGTCAGATTCTGTGCCCATAGTTCTTCCTAAGTCACAATTACATAGTACTGTTACATCATTTCATTTGTCAACACACCAAATCAATTCTAGTATTTAATAGAAAATCTCCTACCTAACAAACTCCTGTGATTTCTTGGAGGTAGGTGTAGGCTCACAAATGACTTGCAGCAGAGCTAGAGATCCAGTAGCCCTTAGCTGTGTTGGAACAGCATGTTTGATGTGATCCACCATTGCTCTGTCTGCAGACTGTGGTAGCTTACATATTGCTGTGATGCTGGAAGCTATATACCACCTTCTAGACTAAGACAGACTAGAGAGAAGCACCTACAAATCTACTTCTTCAAAAACTGGCAAGAGAAAACCATAGGAACAGCAGTGGGTAATTGTATAAAGCAGTTTAACTATCAAAGCAAAGATACTGTTGTGAAGAATAGGAATTCCAGAACACTTGATTGTGCATAGATTAAGAGACAATCATTCAGACAGAACAAGAGGATACTGCATGTTTTAAAATCAGGAAAGGTGTGCGTCAGGGTTAAATCCTTTCACCATACTTATTCAATCTAGTACATGTTAGATTGTATGCTGAGAAAATAACCCAAGAATCTGGACCACATGAAGAAGAAGGTCATATTAAGATTGGAGGAAGATTCATTAACAACCTACATTGTAGGCTGTGCAAATGACACAACCTTACTTGCTGAAAGCACTGAGGATTTGATAAATATCAAGGACTACAGCCTGCAGTATGGATTAAATCTCAACGTTAAAAAAAAAAAAAACC